TGCCAAGATAGGTTTTCGCTTTTATAAAATCAGCAAGTGGCTTCATATCGTTTTTTTTTTTGAGGAAAAAAGATGCTAGAACTTGTGTACTTCTGAAGACTGTTTTACCGCGCTCAGTTTTTTTAGCCTTCAACACATTTTGTACATCGTCGTACCGTTCCCGTATTCAAAAAACCATTTCAAGGCATTTTGACTTTATTTTCCGAACCTTACCTGAATAAGTATCATCATCTTTCGACCATATTTTAACCGTAAGCAAGGTGTTACTTAAAAGGATTATTTCAAGTACTGCTGAAAACTTCTTGGAGAAGAATTAGGCTTCTGGTGCAATGTTATCGATAGATTTAAATAATGGGAACATGTCATAAGTAATGATGTATACACTATTTTATTTGATTTTCTTGCAATCAGATAAATTTGCTCTTTAATGAAATTGATTATTCCGGTAAATGAGCAGAAAAAAATGAGCATTTGTCAAAGTCCAATTGCAAGAGGTCAGAAAAAAAAAACAAATCATGGGGAATTATGTAATTCTGCGCCACTATAACTGAATTTTAGATCATATCTTACACGATATCCATGTGTTTCTTGATCGTTTGGTTTCGTCGAATGAATCGCTCGGATAAGCCGTTTATCCAAAGACTTAGGTATGTCTTATCATAGTTACTCGGTGGAAATCTAGAGATTTTTCATAAATTCAATTAGCTAGTTGATGTTTTAGATCACTCACAATATTAACTGAATTTTTGGATGTTTGCATCGAATATCAAAACAAACGTGTTTAAGAAACTTTTGTTGTGTCAAATTGAGTTTTAAACTCCATTCTCAAAAAGACTTTACTTCACATCTACTAGCCTATCTTAATTTTCTTTTATGACGAAGTTTAAAAGAAGCATGTAAACTTGTTTGATGCAATCCATCTTTTTTGTCGTGTTTCTGTTCATCCTGCTGCGAGCTGATGAGTTCATTTACAGACTATCAAAAATTCCATTACTACATTCATGTGTACGTGCTTCGTGTTAGAAATGTACAGCATCTTGCTTTACAGAAGTTCCGTGTACTCAATTATTCGTTCTTTACCATGGGTAAAACGTCGGGTGAAAGCTGATCTTGAGAGAGCCCGTAGGGAAATTGAAGAAGAAGTTCATCAGTGTGATCAGGTTTCCATCTGTTGCTAATCTAATCGTCAATTTTACTTCCTACTTTGAAACGCATTTAGAAACGTGATTTTTACAAGTTTTTGCCGGAGCATCCACTTAACCCCGAAGATATTCTATCAGAAGCTCGGCAGTATGCAGCTATGGGTGAGCGACGTTATATGGAACATTACGATCCTCGTTCAAGAACTCAAGACATGACACTTTGCGCTAAGGTAACTTTGTATCAGTTGCATTGATTGAATCTTTGAAACTAATATTCAGATCTATGATCTCTTTTCTCATTCCGATCCTCATCGGTCGGATGCTTTTCCAGGTGCGAGAAAGATGGAAGCAGAGGTACGTCAGGAAAATATCAGTTAAGGATTATCCCTTTTTTGCCCTGATCTAGATACTGCGAATGGCATTGTCAATGTTCCATGGCGGAGTCGAAGCTTGTGGTGTTGTGGCAGGTGGTGGAACAGAAGCGACATTGCTTGCTTGTCTTGGTGAGTATGTGCCATATTTATGGCCCAAAT